CGGGACGTGAAGCTGACCACTCATCTCCATCTAGTGAAGAGAATGCCTGGTTATACCTCTACCCGCAAAGCGTCTACATACCGTGGTGCTTAATTAAAGAGAGGGAAACTATATATTTTGTATTTATTAGTTTTAATTATGAAGAATTTATTCTTGGAGCCGGGGTAGCGTAGTCAGTATAGCGACTAGCTACGGGCTGGAGGGCAGTGGGGCAGGAGTTCAAGTCCCAGTAGGGTCAATAATTTTCTCTTCTCCAAATCATCCACACCGGCTCTGGGGTTCACCAACCTCCTATCCAATGGTTTCAGGGGGTAAAGCGACCGGGGCGTGAAGCTGAACACTCACCTCCAACTAATGCCGAGGTCAAAAAAAATATGGATCTATACATCCACTACCCCATACGCCTACATAGCGTAGTAATTAATTGGTTAAACACAGAGACAACTGTACCTTTTATTAAATTTAGAATTTTTCTCGGGATCGGAGAACTTACCGACAAATGCAGGCTTAAACTTAATACAATTTAAGTTTTAGACAGTTCCCACTGTCATGTTTTATTGTTTAACGTCAATTTTTAAACCGTAGTTTCACAAAACGAGATGCTATCAGCGCTGTATGCCAATTCCTATCATTCCATTCGTCACACAGAAAGAGAACAGCGGGTTATTCGGGCCCCAGCAGCCAGGGCGCGTCGTGCTGTGCTGTCTTCCCCCAGATCAGAACGTCGAAGCCTTTCATGTTCCAAATATCTCTTTAAACTGAAGTAAATCGTTTTTCTGTTCCATCCATCCATGTCAAACGCAAGTCTTTCTATTTACTGCAGAAATTACCACTCCATCTTCCTTCATTTTGTCATCCACGTTCTTCCTTTACCCTTCAAATGTCCTCCTCCTTGTTATTCTCCTTTTGTCACAGTCTTCGGAAGTCGTTTTTCCAACGTCTTCCTCTCCCGGTACTTCATCCTCTAAAATTAATTGAATAAAACTACCATTTGATTTTAAAGATTTCGATGTTATTGCTTTGGGACACACGGTAGCGTAGTTGATTGAGGCGCTATGTGCTATAAGCTGGAAAGTCGCGGGATCGAGTCCCGATGAGGTGGATTTTTTTCAATTTACCTAATCTTTCCAGCCTCACTATGGCCCTGGGTTCGACTTAGCCTCTAACAGAAATGAGTACCAAGAATCTTTCTGTGAGCCGACTGTCTAGATAATGTGGGAGCCTCGACGTCTCATAACCCTATGGGCCTCCACGGCCTGTTATAGGGATAGCTTTACCTTTCTGCCTATGTTTCCGCCTCACTCCTTCTTTAACAACAGAATTTTACATTGTGCAGGCACTTGTGGACATGACGATGAATATTTAGATTTCTTGGTTAGTTGAGCGATTATTAGCTCTCATTAAGGATCACGAAAGACACAGATCCTTTAAGCAGTGATCTGGCTTGGTCTGGTATGGCAAATAGCTGCTGTCCTCGTCAGCACAGTCATTCTTCTTTCTGTGTCCGGAAAAAGCCATGAATATACTTTACTTGCTCATGATTCTGGGAGTCCTGCGGCTATTGTCTCGGTGTTCGGTCCTTAAGAACTGACTCTTCTAAATAATATATAGCAATTCAGTCCGTACCTCACAGGAAACACATTACGTCACCACTACAAAGCCCAACCGGTTGATGCTATTTACGGAAACAGTCGCTGTTTATTGTGAGAACCATTTTTTTTATTGCTAGTGGGGTGGGACTAAGTCCCTTGTACTGCGACCACTTCTGGCCTATTGTACCAGCCCCAGATGATAGGTGAGGGTGATTGTGGAGCAATTGGTGGAATGAAGTTTGGCAGGGGAAACCGAAGTACTCGGAGAAAACCTGCCCCAGCGCCACTTTGTCCACCACAAATCCCACTTGACCAGGCCCGGGATCGAACCCGGGCCGCCGCAGTGGGAAGCCAACGACTAACCGCTTGAGCTATGGCGCGGCCTCTGTGAGAACCACAGTGAACACACAAATACACTCTGTGGGCAGAATGCAGAGTTTAGGTATGTTAAAGCAGGTGGTACATATAGTAACCACTGGACTTTCGGTTATTAATTCCATTCTTAGTACTGCCCGAAACACCAAAGAATTTCTTGGCCAGATGAGCGAACATTTCGGAGAAGATTCTAGAACTTTCTTATCCAGTCCGTACTGATTTCAGAAGGACGACAACTCTCATCAAGTGATCCGGGGTTCAATTCCAATGGCTNATATATACGTAGGGTTATTAAGCCAGTACGCATATCAATAAGCAATTGATACTTGTCTGGAAATTTCGCTTCCCTCCAGTCATTTTACACTCTCTAGTCTGTGCCATCTCTTGTCTTCTCATCTGCTGTCCAAAAAAATAAAAATTAGAATATACTAAAGTATAATTTTGTCTGTGGTTCTGTATGGGTGTGAAATTTGGTCTCTGACTTTAAGGGAAGGCCATAGATTGAGGGTGCTGAGGAGAATATTTGGACCGAAGAGAGATGAAGTGACAGGAGGTTGGAGAAAACTGCATAATGAGGAGCTTCATAACTTGTACTCTTCTCCAAGTATAATTAGAACGATCAAGTCAAGGAAGATGAGGTGGGCAACCTACAGACGACTTTCTATTCTCGCAGGAAACATCACGATGCAGACTGGAGAAAACTGGTCCGTTAAGTTCGGCGACTTCATGACAGTGAGACGAAAACCGGGCGGAGGGTTGGATGTGGAGATACAGCGCCATACAATCCTGTCGAGGATATTCCCTCGTAACGGGTCCCTGGGTTCTCCCGGAGGGGCAGATCCTAGCGTTTCGCAGAACTTCGGAAACAGCCGGCCGAAATTGACCTCCAACAGCCTGATCTGATTCGCAGGATCTCTGAGAAAAATGTTTGTAAACTCATTTGAGTCCATATTACAGCGTGTGTAACTTGAGCGTGTTTACGTTTTAAACAGAAATAATTTGTACTCCTAGCCAAACATTACGATCATCATGTAAGACCTGAGATTTCCATGGCGGTGACTATGAAGAATTCCTGCTTCTGGGATGTGGCGGCGTGCAGATCTTGTGTGAACCGACGTTTCTGGTGGAACGTATCGCCTCCATCTTCAGGGTAGAAAAATCCGCGGGCGAAGAATCAACGTGAGTAGGTAGCTAGCAGACTGCTCAACGCTGGTTCATTACCGTGTTCACAAGAGCCCTCCACTGGTCCCTATCCTTAGCCAGATCAATCAATCCATACCATCCCATTTTATCTCTCTAAGATCCATTTTAGTATTGTCCACCCACCTACACTTTAGTCTTCCCAGTGGTCTCTTTCCTTCTGGGTTTCCCACCAATATCCTATATGAATTCCTCGTCTCCCCCATTCGTGTTACATGCCCTGCCCACCTCGTTCTCCTTGACTTAATCATTCTAATTATACTTGGAGAAGAGTACAATTTATTAAGCTCCTCATTATGCAGTTTTGTGAAGTGACGTGTGCTGCACTTTGCACACAGTCTTGTACATCGGCCTCGATGTATCGTGTATAACGTGAAGCATTGGAAAAGAATACGGGAGAAACCAGAGGAAGTTATAACGAATGGTGAGATTTCCTGCTGGATCCTCAGTGGCTGTTAAGCTATGCATGTCACTAAGGAGTACTTAGGAGATCGGAAGTTCTGAGGCAGTGATATTAAAAGCACTGTGATGCCGTGTTGTCTGGTAGACAGTATCAAGGTATGGGAGCAACCTACTGCCTTAATCTTCGTCCCTTAGGATGGAGTCAGGAGGTCCCTCCAAAATTTCGGTATGCTTTTACCGGGCTGTATTGCGTCCATTTGCTTGAAAGCCGTGACCTTGAGAAGTCAAGTATTACTTTCTCACGCACGGGCACAGACTCTTAATAATAAAAAAATTAGACAAATAAATGTTTCTTTATTGAAATCTGTAATTCTAAAACCAGGAAGTATGTCTAGTAAATTATAAACAAACAAAAAATGTTTCCGCCCGGGATCGAACCGGGGACCTTGCGCGTGTGAGGCGCACGTGATAACCGCTACACTACGGAAACCATGCAACACTGCTCTGATCTCCCAACTAGTCTCCGATCTTGGCATAAGTTATAATTCCCAGTTGAGCAATATTGCACACACCCAAAGGAAATTCATGAAGTTACACGGTAGAGGGCAGCCGATAAAGCTACTTCCTGTTTTTGAGAGCTCGAAAGTCCACGTATTGCCTCCGTTCCCTTATACGTCTTCATGGCGTGGTACTCAATTAATTAAGCACAGGGACAACCTTACCTTTTTAGTTTACTAATTGCGAAAAATGTGAACAATTGAGAAGGAGGCAAATATTTTTCTGTGCGTAACTGAGAGCCAAATAGTGAAGAAGTATGGGTGGATGGAGATATAGCTCCGCGAACTCTTTCTTAACCCCGGTACTAAATGTGGACAGCTTTTAGTCCCGGACTCTTTCAATCCCAGGAGTTCTCAGTAACTATCAAACACAAAGCTGGTTGGGCCACAGAGGCGACCTTGACACGGCGAAGGAGAGACGAGTCTCTTGCCCCGAACTGGAATTGGACAGTGATTCCTCTGTCGTCGAACCCATAGCCTACTTACTATACCGACTGAGCTATCCCGGCTCATAGTACATAACCTAGTACTAACTGTGAAACTCTCAATATACGAATGTTTGCACAGCCGGTAAACGTTAAAACGGCAAAGTTGTCCCTGTGCTTAATTAATTAAGCACTATGCCATGAAGAGGCATAGCTACATCATTCTTGACCTCGGCACTAGATGCAAGTGAGTGATCTGCTGCAAGTCCCGGCCGCTTTACCCCCGGAAAGCTGGGTAGGCCTCAGAGCCGGTGTGGACGTCGTGGAGGAGAGAAAGCTCTCTTGTCCTGCCGGGAATCAAACCCCTGCCGTCCAGACCTTAGCCCGTCCCCATGCCGATTGAGCTATCCCGGCTCTTAGAATCTGCGTACCAAAGCCAGTCAACTTACCGAGCCATGAGAATGATCCTGTGGGCATAGACGGGCACCTCCTCCCGCCCTACCAGGAACACGATGTCGGCGGAGTCATGGTCCTCGGCAAGGCGCTGCAAATCCTCCAGGAGCTGAGGAACCCCAGCCAAATTCTTGTCTGGGAAGTGTGCCGCTGCTACCCGTGTTCCCATGTCACTGTAACAGAGCATACGGCGAACAGGTTAGCTCAGGCGATGCAGTTCCTCCAGGAGCTGCGGTACCCCAGCCAAGTTCTTGTCCGGGAAGTGTGCCGCTGCTACCCGTGTTCCCATGTCACTGTAACAGAGCATACGGCGAACAGGTTAGCTCAGGCGATGCAGTTCCTCCAGGAGCTGCGGTACCCCAGCCAAGTTCTTGTCCGGGAAGTGTGCCGCTGCTACCCGTGTTCCCATGTCACTGTAACAGAGCATACGGCGAACAGGTTAGCTCAGGCGATGCAGTTCCTCCAGGAGCTGCGGTACCCCAGCCAAGTTCTTGTCCGGGAAGTGTGCCGCTGCTACCCGTGTTCCCATGTCACTGTAACAGAGCATACGGCGAACAGGTTAGCTCAGGCGATGCAGTTCCTCCAGGAGCTGCGGTACCCCAGCCAAGTTCTTGTCCGGGAAGTGTGCCGCTGCTACCCGTGTTCCCATGTCACTGTAACAGAGCATACGGCGAACAGGTTAGCTCAGGCGATGCAGTTCCTCCAGGAGCTGCGGTACCCCAGCCAAGTTCTTGTCCGGGAAGTGTGCCGCTGCTACCCGTGTTCCCATGTCACTGTAACAGAGCATACAGCGAGCAGGTTAGCTCAGGCGATGCAGTTCCTCCAGGAGCTGAGGAACCCCAGCCAAGTTCTGTCTGGGAAGTGTGCCGCTGCTACTCTTGTCCTTGTTTCTGTTAACTCTCTCCATGCAGCTGAGTTCTTCTCGGAAAGCCGCCAGTCTCTCAGTCACTCAAGAATTTCCCAATATTTCAGGAATCATAAGGTTCATTATCGTGTTCACGAGAGCCCACTACTGGTCCCTAACCTGAGCCAGATGAATCCAGTCGATACCAACACATCTTATTTGTCTAAGATCCATTTTAATAGTATCCTCCCGCATGTCTTCCTAGAGGTCTCTTTCCTTCTGGCTTTCCTACAAAAACCCTAAATGCATTCCTCTTCTCCCCCATCCGTGCTACACACCCTGACCATCTCATTCTCCTTGACTTTGTCGTTGTTTTTGATAATTCCTCCTCAACTTAATACAAGCCTGAAGGTTGAGACAACTTGGCGAGAAAGCCATTTATTTTTGCTTCCGTCAATTCTGGTTTTTCGCAAAACCGCAGTTTCAGTTACGTGAATATCGACTGCAAACGTCCAGGTCCTTCTCTGTTATCAGTGAAGATAAGCCTTCCCCTGCTTGTGGCCAGTACAAATGAGACATGATCCAACAGCTGTGAGATCAGTGATTCATATTATCGATAGTGGGACCAAGTTCCGACAATGCACAATGCAGTAAGCTTTCGCATGTGAAGGAAGCAACAGATGTGACGTGTCATGTTGGTGTGTGACTTCTCCCTGCCAGCCATGTGGCAAACAAATGACGGTCTATGAAAGAAGTTAACTACGCATGAAGAACAAATGCGTTATGCTCTGTCACAAGAAACTGGGCCGTTTAAGGTAAGGAAATAACTCTTTGGTAGCATAGAGGGTTTTTCTTAAACAGCTAGAGGTCAATTAGTTGCTGAAAAAGAATATCTGGTTTTCCCGAACCTGGAAATTTATCAAAATGTCCGTAAGAGCCTTTCATGAAGTCATACTCTTATATATGTGCAGTCAATTTCGTTCACCGTTTTGTGCCTGGGGGTATAACTGTGTCACCTTGTCACCGAGGAGCACAAATATAGGGACCTAGTCCTCCAGGCTTGGGGCTGGACTCAAGGCTGACGAACTTGCTCTCAAAAAATATTTATCAATAAATCCAACCCAGAGCCCGTCTTATAAGTCACATGCATAATCCCTAAATCGTGACAACACGATAGGAAGCAAAATCCCCCATACTGGAGATCTCGTGGAGTACACAGGGACTTTTCTTCCGTTAGGTTGCCTGCTCATGGCATGGCTTACCCCCATAGATGTTTCAGACAAGACAATTACGTGACTGCTGACAATGCGAGTATCATGGCACTAGGATATCAATGATTGAATTCTCTTCTTTTGTTTGACTCTCGCTGTAGTTGGGTTTATAATGACATCTGGTCATGTAAAGCTTGGTTCCGACATTACAATGGGACATGACTCATACTTCCTGTATGACATCTGTATAAATAATCTGCAATTAACAGTTATTCCTATCGGCGACCTTGGCACCGAACATGGTAGTCTACATTTAATAACTTTCAATGTTTACCGGATGAGAGTAGTAGGTAAACACTTTCCATCTCTGAATACGCTTAACCAGCAAACTTCTTGCAGCTGAGCCCTTCTTGAGAAGCCGTCAACTGTGCAGCCACTCAAGAACTTACAAGCATTTTATAGAACTCGGAAGTTCATTACCGTGTTGTGGGAATCTGCAAGCAGATCGCCATTCTCATTCTTCGCTAAGTTAACTTCTAGACTCGTAACCATCTTATATTCCTATATACAGTGTTTCACGACTTTGGAGCATAACTGCAGGAGGTGATTTCCTAGGTCTTTGTGATCAAAAAAGTTCATATATACATGTGTCCGATTTTGGACGGTTACGGAGTTATGACCGTTTTTTTCATTCCCGTACACGCCCTCGTGTGAAACGCGTCTATCATCTGGCGGGTCGCTATTTTTAGCCAGCTACAGACAGAGCGTTCTCGTTATCTCGACACTTGAGAGCTACGTAAGGCGTGGTGGGTTGGTATGTCCGGCGCGGTTCACAACCGAGCGGCAGCCTGTGTACCGGCCGGCGGTGGCATTTTCGAAAATCAGCTTTAAGCACCAATAAATTCAAATTAAAGGTAACATCTCGAAGTTAACTTTACATTCATACTTTAAATGTATCATGTATTATGCTGGTTTATTATTTTGTTCCGTTTATTGTCAGTAATCGTTACCTTCTATTCTGAGTTTAAAACGGTCATAACTCCGTAACCGTCCAAATTCGGACACATGTTTATATGAACTTTTTTGCTCACAAAGACCTAGGAAATCACCTCCTGCAGTTATATCCTAAAGTCGTGAAACACCCTGTATAGGTCTCTATGTTCTTGTTCTTTCTGGTCGTTGCAAGCTCATTAATTTTGTCTTTCAAATATTCCCTCTTTTTGTTCCTGAAATGCCTGCAGGTTTCACGTCTTATATTGTTCGGATTATCTCCATTTATTTCGTTTGCATCATGTAACCACTTCAATTTGGCTTGTTTCCTTTGAACTAATAATTTTGAGCATCTTTTTTAAACCATGTCTTATGCTTTTCCAGTTCACAGTAATTTAGATTCTGTTTGGCTGATATTTTGATATTCTCTCTAATAGTTTCGCCAGCTCTACTAATATCCACGCTCTGTTTTCTATCTATCTATTCCTGTTGCTCCCACTTTGAACATATGGCACCCGTGAAACGCTTCGATCCACTTCAGTTTCTTATACAGCCGGTAGGACTCCCTGGGCGAGGGATCAGGCTGTCGCAAGGCCGCTACGTACATACAAACACAGAATAAATCGTGTCACTAATTAACTCTACCCTCCTAACTACTGATATGAATCTCTTATGTATGGAAAAACCTGTACCTAACTCATGATTCTCACTCCCTTTCCATAGAAAAATTTATATTCGCCAGCCGGTTGGTTGCCACCTCTATCCCATCTGACCTCCTGTACTCCCGCTAAATCTAACTAATACACGTATTTTGATATTCCTTCTCCCACTGCCCTGAGCGAACCTGCCCTATACGTACTTCTAATATTGCAAGTACCAACTCTTATGTCAATTTTCTTTCGCGTGGGTCCTTTATCCAAAGAATTCGCCCAGGTCCGAGGCTTCTTGTGATCTTTCGTAACAAGCTTATTTCTTTACGGTGAGGAGTTGTTAGCCCCACGCCCAACCCCCAAGCTGGAGGAACACCCCTTGTCGGTTGTCCGTGACTGCTTATTCGATATATTCGGAGCTACCCTCAGTACCTGGAGGGCGTCTCCTCCATCCGCAACCTGAGGACGCGCCATGCCGTGGTGACAGGGGGCCCACCTAACATGGTCTGAATATCCTAGGAATCTGATTATGCACTTCGCACTTCTGGCACCGTGAAGTCGTACCGGCGGGTATCAACATTACGGAGAAACGTCCTGCCTCCATCTTCAGGGTTTGAGTAGGATAAGGATGCGTTCTGGTTTTACAGACATGTATGGGAAGTTGGTATTCACACCCGGGGAGGGGGGGATCCTGGGTTGGTAGACATGTTGCATGGTGGTCACTCTGACATACGGGAAGGGCAGGGAGCCTGGTACAGACCAGGGAGTTGTGAGAAAACTGCCCTTTTCAGAGCCACAGAAGTGTCGTTACAGGGGGAAAGAAGAATTGCGAGGAAAACAGCTTTGTGTTCTCCGATCTTCTGAACAGTGTGCATTCTATACGCAAATATGCACACAAGATTTTGAATTATTAAACCATTGTTAAACCTCTTTTAGCGTCATGGCACCATGTCCTACACTCATCTAAGATAGAAGGGGGAAGTATCATTAAAACGTCAGTAACATACACAACTTCTACTATACAGCCTCATCACCCATAATAAAATCAATCCGCCAATAATTACATTAAATAAACTATATAAAACCATTTGTACAATTATATAACAAAAGTTATTAATTTACTGAATTGTAGGAATAAGAAATTGTGAACAAAAATTTGCGCCCCCGGGTGGGCTCGAACCACCAACCTTTCGGTTAACAGCCGAACGCGCTAGCCGATTGCGCCACGGAGGCGAACGAAAAAGAGGTTCTTCTGTTGTGAATACAAGGTAGGTCTCCAGTCTCAGTGTTGTAACAAACGTGAATTGTGCCTGAGGCCCCAAACATTCAAGTATTATCAGTTTGAATTTATTATTTTGTTAACTGGGTAATGCAGTTTGCACATACTGACGGAAAAATATATATTAATGAATTACAAAGAATGAAAAAGATCCTTCATTATTATCCCGAAGGATGTGATAATGACATTTATCAGGAGTGATTGTGAAAACCGACACAACATTTCAGTTTAGACAGCTAGTAAACAGGTATATAATATTCGATATCAAAACGAGTAATTAGCCACACCTATACCCTACTATATGATTATACATTACTCGCAGTTTTAATCTATTCTGGGATATAAAACAGAATAAAAACAATGCCGATTTCCGTGATACAAAACACCCAACTACGATCTAGTCTACGAAAAATCCCTACGAGCATTCACATTAATTTAAAGATAATGGCAGATTATTAAAGATAATTAATAATTAATTAATAGTTAATTTTAGCGTTTTGGTAGAGATTTGAGTAACAATGTCTCAACGTTTTAAACCTTAGGACTAACATGACGACATCAATTTAGTTACATGACAAGATGCATACAAATATGTTTTAAAGATATTTACATCAATACGAGTACAATTACGTACTCATGGAGCTGAGCCCTTCTTGAGAAGCTGACAATTGTGCTTTCTGGCTTTCCCACCAATGTCCTATATGCATTCATCGTCTCCTCCATTCGTGCTACATACACTGCCTATCTCATCCTCCCTGACTTGTTCATTGTAATCATAGTTGGAGAAGAGTACAAGTTATGAAGCTACTCAATTACTAATATGAATCCATATTAGGGCACGATCCAACAACGAGAGATGTATCATAAAAACTGCCTGATGATTAGCTGGATGGAAACATGTAGCAAATACAGAATAACAAACAAATGTTAATGCAGTAATACTGGTTTATTTATTTGGAGATTGTTGTGATGACCACCATACTCGTATAACACCATATGAAAGCGATAGCCTATGGAACGAAGCACATTACGTTCGTGTTTTGAAGCAATTTAAAAATCTGCAAAATACTGCATGAAAATTTGAAGAGTATAAAATGCACTGCAATTATGCACTTCAAATTAATTATAATGTTTAAAAAAAAATGTTTCCGCCCGGGATCGAACCGGGGACCTTGCGCGTGTGAGGCGCACGTGATAACCGCTACACTACGGAAACCCGAATTGCGGCTTTCCTTATGCACATAGTCATTGACAGAATGTAGTGCCTATTTGTAAACAACGGACTAGCTGGCATGTTCAACATTACATTATTTAAATTTACTGTTCACTATATATATATATATATATATGAGAGTAATGTGAGTATGACATGAGAGTTGTTAAATTACGCAGTTTCACGGTACCACAGCAATGAACTGTCGATCGTTCAAGTTTTTGTTTTTGTTCTGAGATCAGCGAGCTACATCTTTTCAGTATATTTTGGCTATTCTGTGACTAATGATGCTTTATATGGATATGTGAAGTGCAATATACTACATAATGCAGATCGTTTACGATTGAGTAATTGTGCATGATATTCGTGGAAGATGGCGTTAGACGTCGGTAACACTCAGGACTGGAGCGGAATGCAGGTGAAATGAGGGGAAGGTGATAATACGAAAGATTCTATAACAAATGATCAAACATCCCGACGAGTTCTCAACGGGTGTTACAGTAATATAATGTAAACCTACAACATTATTGCTTATTATTGTAATTGCAAAAGCTAACAACTGATCGATTCTATGTTGACTCAACTGATTATGACACCAACTTCGTTTACTGTCGCTGCAAATGCAAGACAAACTTCATGCCATGTTAATTGATATGAATCCAATTAAAAATCACCTTTGAACAATCGAAATTCGACGGCGTGTACCTTGAAAATTTGGCAGTTACTCTGATGGTTTTATAGAATCTGAAGTTTCATCGCCGTGTTCGCAAAAGTCCAACATTGAACCCTGTCCCTAGCCTGACGAGTTTAATTGAAACCATCACACATTTAATCAAGGTCCACTTACATTTATTATGACCTTAGGACTCACTCACTCACTCACTCACTCACTCACGGAGCTGAGCCCTTCTTGAGGAGCCGCCAATTCTGCAGCTACTCAAGAACTTGCCAGCATTTTATGGAACCCGAAGGTTCATTACCGTGTTCACAAGAGCCCTCTAATGGTCCTTATCCTGAGCCAGATCAATCCAATCTATACTATCGCATTCTATCCCTCTAAGGTCCGTTTTAATATCATCCACCCACCTACGCCTTGATCTTCCCAGTGGTCTCTTTCTTTCTGGCTTTCCCACCAGTATTCTATATGCAATCCTCTTCTCCCCCATTTGTGCTACATGCCCTGCCCACCTCATCCTCCTTGATCCCATTAGGCCTAGGTCTGGAAACTCTCACTTTTTAACAAAAAATGTATGTAACTTCATGTCCTTCATGCGCGCTGTTCTTACAAGTACTGAACATATCATATTTATTTATTTCAATGCCCTAGCAATAGCACATCAACAGTACACGTTACAATGCTTCCGGATGTTTAATTCTCTCTACACCAGTGTGAAATAGATCGAACAACGCGAAAGAGGTTGTCCTTGTGCTTTATTAATAAAGCTCCCACCACGTCATGAAGACGTATGGAGGAGTGGAAGTAAGATCCACTCATTCTTTACATCGGCACTATATGAAGGTGCGTGGACAGCTTCATGCCCCGTGGGTTTTAAGTCCCAAGTAACCTTGGACAGGGCACTGGACGAGTCCCAGAACGGATATGGACCTTGTGTAAGGCAAAAATTGTCTCCATGCTTAATTAAACACCACGGCATGGAGACGAATGGGGGGGTGGAAGTATAATTCCACGAAATCTTACCCTCGGTACTATATGCAGGTGATTGGCAAGCTTCACGCTCCGGTTCCTTTACCCCCAGGGGAAAATCTCCAAATATTCAATGTGTGGAGGGCTATATGGGTCAAAGAGTCGGTCTGGACGCTGTGGAGAATTTAAAAATAAGTTACCTCTTCTGGAGATCGAACCGTGATTCCTCACTGCACTGACCAGGCTATCCAGATTCTTGGTGATATCAAAAAATAAAAAATAAAATAATAATAATAATAATAATAATTATAATAAGTTGATACAACACAACCCCTAGAAATAAAAATGTATATGAAGGAAAAGTACCTTAAATAGGCCACGACCACTTCATTCCACATACTTTCCAGTTATTATTCTGTATCATCCTATCATTCAAAGTCATATGACCTTAGTTGTGACAGTCATTAAATTAATATAAATAAATACATAGTGAAATTGCGTCAATAACTCTGGCGACCAGATGCTGTACAAACCTGATATATAAACGCCCCCGTCTGCAAAGCGTAAAGACGTTTGTACTTCCCAACACAAGTTCAGAGCACTTCAAGGTCCTACAAAGCAATGAAACAACGTATCCGAGAACTAGAGCGAATCAACGCAATTCAAACAAACACTACACAAGCCAAAACAAGTGAATATTGCATGTGCGCACGTCACGTGTCCCTGCAGAGGAAACAGTGAGTTCCAGTCTTCACAAACAACTCAGAAGAGAGAACAAGGGACTGGCCGCTCACTGGGGCCAGTAACCTCATAGCTGCGTTGCCATATGTGGGACACCCCTGACAGCATAGCGTTATTTAACTACGGACTTCAGCTGAATTCACCCATTGCTTTAAATATCTCTCAGTGAATCCGTATACAAGGCGTGGAGATACAGCTCCACTCTATTTAGAAATTTGCTTCACAAGATGGAGACGGTTATTACCGGACATAGCACAGGAATCCTGAGGGTGTTTGAGAACAGGGTGTTGGGGAGAACATGTGGACAGAAGAGAGGTGAAGTGACAGGAGGGTGGAGGAAACTGCATAATGAGGAGCTTCATAACTTATACTCTTCTCCCAGTATAATTAGAATGATCAAGTCAAGGAGGATGAGATGTGTAGGTCATGTAGCACGATTTGGGGAGACGAGGAATGCGTATAGGATATTTGTGGGAAAGCCAGAAGGAGAGAGACCACTGGGAAGACCAAGGCGTAGGTGGGTGGACAATATTAAAATGGATCATAGAAAGATGGGATGAGATGGTATGGATTGGATTGATCTGGCTCAGGATAGGGACCAGTGGAGGGATCTTGTGAACAAAATAATGAACCTTCGGGTTCCATAAATTCTTGAGTAGCTGCAGAATTGGCGGCTCCTCAAGAAGGGCTCAGCTCCATGAGTAAGTAAGTAAGTAATGATAGGAAAATGCGCGCCACCCCGGGGCGGTCTCGACCCGGTGACGATGACTAAACCCAATTATCTATCAGGAGTCGAAATCAGGCCGTCTACCTCGTAGCCTAGCTAGATTACCGACTGAGCCCGAGAGAGCAGTAACTGTCCGATCCTTGTAACATTCATGTAGTCCGTTTTATCGGAAGTTGGAATCGAATTTTAAAATATTTTAAATTGTGTCCGCGGTCACGTGACTAGCTATGTTGCTTTGTATTCGGGAGATCTCGCCCAAGAGGACGCTTGTTAGAATCCTTGTTGACGCATTTTCGTGGTCTTCTTCGATACGCTCAGGGAAGTGCCGTGGAAGAAACTCGACCACTTCCTTCTAAATCCTAATTTATTTGTTGTAGTTCACCATAAAATTCAACGCCATATAAGTTGAGTTACTGACAGCGTCGTTAAATAAACCATTACTACTACTACTACTACTACTACTACTACTACTACTACTAATAATAATAATAATAATAATAATAATAATAATAAAAAAAAAAAGCTAAATGTATCCCTGTAACAGGCCGTGGAGGCACATAGGGTTCTGAGATGTTGAGGCTCCCACATTTTCTCTAGACAGTCGGCTCACAGATGGCGGTGAGGTTGTCAGCCTTACGCGCCGGCCGCCTTTTACCCCCAGGAAGATTCCTGGTGCTCATTTCTGTTAGAGGCTGAGTCTACCCCAGGACCATAGTGCGGCTGGAAGGATTGGGTCAATTGAAAAATCCAGTGACCTCATCGGAAATGGTACCCGCGACCTTCCGGTTTGTAGCATAGTGCCTCAGCCAACTACGCTACCGTGTACCCCGAATACTTCCGGTAGCCATGGGAAACTACTTTGGGACCCCTAGGGGTACCAGTACCACAGTTTGGTGTAAATTGATTTTAGGTAGCCGATAGCCTGCTAAGTGAATTGAGGTTGCTGCTGCAGAAATCAGTACGCCTCCCTGTAATGTTACTTTGAGGTCTCGAACTCCCGGTGTATGTAAGCATTTTTATACGTTCACTTTACAAAAGAAAACTTGAACTGAATGCATAATGAGGAGGTGGAGTCCGTTCTTTCTCCTACTTTTAGCCTACTTTCCTTTGAAAGAAAAATACAAGGAGTCTTATGAGATCACTTTGCTGTCCGTGTATCCACTCAATATTTTCTTTTGTTCTCTATGCCGTCCGTGTCGCATCAAAGGAAAACAGGCGATTAGTTCTTCCCATAATTTATTGTTTTTTTTTAATCCCGAAGCAAGCGACGGGTTTACATTAAATTTGTAATTCGAAGACTAGTTAGAAGTTGTTACGAAAAACATTGCTATAATTTGTTTATTTAATTTCTTAGAATATACAATATAATTTACCTGTGGTTCTGTATGTTTGTGTTACTTGGTCTCTGACATTAAGGGTGGAACATAGACAGGGCGTTTGAGAACAGGGCGTTGAGGAGAATATTTGGACCGAAGAGAGATGAAGTTACAGGAGGTTGGAGAAAACTGCATAATGAGGAGCTTCATAACTTCTACTCTTCTCCAAGTATAATTAGAATGATCAAGTCAAGGAGGATGAGGTGGGCATGACGTGTAGCACGAATGGTGGAGAACAGGCATGCATGTAGGATTTTGGTTGGAAAGCCAGAAGGAAAGAGACCACTAGGAAGACCAAGACGTAGGTGGGTGGACAGTATTAAAATTTATTTTAGAGAAAGGATGTTGTGATATGGATTGGATTTATCTGGCTCAGGATAGGGACCAGTGGAGGGCTCTTGTGAACACTGTAATGATGCTTCGGTTTCCATAAAATGCTGGGAGGTTGTTGAGTAGTTGCAGAATTGGCGGTTCCTCAAGAAGGACTCAGCTCCATGGAGTTAGTTACTTAACGTCACTGTCAGTAGACTATTGTTGAATGATAAGTGGACGGCTTAATGAAGAATTGGAAATTATTTGGAAAGAAGTGGTCATAGCCGAATATGAGACAATGTCCGGGAGTCTGTCTGGATAATACGAAAACTATAGGAGGTAGGATTTCGGGCAGAGATTTGAACGTGGGACATTCTGAATGCGAAGCAGGACTCTACTTGCCCGACCTGGACGTTCGGAATGGCTTTGGTAGCGAACAGCATCACAGAAACTTCATCCAAGCAATCATCAATCCCATAATGCTTCGCACTGAACTTCCCAGACGCCATTGAGGGAAGAGGTCCGACTTTCTTACGAAATAGCGGCAACGCTGTGCTGCTGTTTCAGTCCGGGCTGTCATGTGACCTTGAGTTGATGCCCAGGGCATGTCCTGCCCCTTCCGTTCCGTAGTCTGGGTTCGAGCCCTGTGCAAATTGTCTCTAACCGGGTTTAAACTATAGACTCGAGGCTTTTGTTTCATCACCATGAACACACCTTCCAGCCTCTTTTCGAACAGCTGACGGGGCCAAGTCCAGTGGTTGAAGTTGACCATTCACCTCAATCTAACAGAAATGTCACTTTCCAAACCTTCAAATCGTCCATGATTTATTCCAGCCGTCTTACAGTGCATACACTCATCCACCTCACACTTGGAGTGTGAGGTGGATGAGTGTATGCACTGTCAGACGGCTGGAATAAATCATGGACATAAATCAGTGCAACAGGACGCTAAAATATAACTTCAAATTGTCGCTGAGCTTAACCACCACGCCATGAAGACGCATAGGTGGGTACAAGTATGCTTCATCCATTTTAATAATGTCCCCCCATCTATGTTTAGATCCTCCTATTAGTATCTTCCGGTTTTCCTTTATAAAACAATATTTTTAATATTTATAGGTCGTGAAAGCATGATATATTTTTTTTTATTGTTAGTGGGTTCGGACTAAGTCTCGTGTACTGCGGCCACTTCTGGCCTGTTGTACCAGCCCCAGATGATAGGTGAGGGTGATTGTGGAGTAATTGGTGGAATGAAGATTGGCAGGGGAAACCGAAGTACTCGGAGAAAACCTGCTCCAGTGCCACTTTGTCCACCACAAATCCCACTTGACCAGACCCGGGATTGAACACGAACCGCCGCGATGGGAAGCCAGCGACTAACCGCTTGAGCTATGGCGCGGCCCAAGCATGACGTAAAACAGGCCTACAGTTTTGTATATTTTAATGTTTAGATTGTTAGAGTAAAGATGAGAAAACATTCCTAATTATATCGGCGTTAGTATTCCTCCATTTAAATATGATTTTAATTTCTTCCTCAGTTTTATCTTGATATGAAATTGACGTAACAGTTTTAGCTCTATTTCCTTTCTACTGACAACTGGCTTGTAGTTCATGCTGTCTTGTGACTCGAAGCGACCCTGAGGCAATATGTTCCACGGAAAAGCTCGTGTCCACAAATCTTAATTGATCTGTAATTGTATATTAACCCAGTATCGTAGTTCATAATTAGTAATATCATCCACATACGTTTTTTTTCCTTGGCACTACAGCCCCAGTGGGCCTAGACCTACCTCCATGAACTTCTCCCTTCACTTCGGTTTTTCTAGATCTTACACATTCGGTAGGACTCCTTGGGCCAGTGATCAGCTCGTCGCAAGGCCTCCACCTGTACACAAACACAGAAAAACGCACGCACACAAACTAAACATCCATGTCCTGAGTGGGATTCGAACCCACGATCCCGGTTTCCAAGCGAGCGAAGACAGTACATGCCTTAGACCGCTCGGCTGCCGTGACCGGCCATCCATACACGTAGCTAACCAAATTACGAAACTACACTACGTCATATCTCGAAAGACCGTAATTTCAATTAACGTTCAATATCTGACTTGAGATTTTATGGCGGTGACTGTGAGGAGTATTAGTTCGTCGTGAAGTTTCAGAAGAAAACATTCCCGCCATCTTCAGGGTCAGAATCCTATACCAGGCAGGCGGCCAGAAGCAGGCGAGCAAAGACTCTGAGTAGAAACGTCGGCAAACTTCTACAAGACTACAAATCATCACAATCGAGAAGAAAACGTTTATAACAGGCGCTGTAGGAGAGAATTATAGACACATTTTATGTTCAATACATGCTCTAGACAGGTCTTACAGCTTCAGACATAATTAGGATAATGAGGGTGAACCCAGTAGAATGATGATTCGTGTTTATTTACGTGCAGACTTAACAGCTCAGTGGCCAATTACAAATTCAGCGCGAGTACACAGAAATACATAAAAATAATTAAAGAGCAAAATTCAAAATATGACAGTCTACATAATAGCAATAAATTAATAACAATTAAAAAAAATAAGTTAGCTTTA